CAAAGCCCACGTAAATAAAGAAACGTTTTCTCACAGTCACCTTTGATTGAAGGGCGACATGTCATGGCTATTTATGAATGTAGAGTGTGGAGGCACATCAACAGATATGAGAACTGTTTTTAATAACTTCAGCGACTTATTGATTTATGTTGCACAATTATGTTGCAAATTTTACATGAAATTGTTGTTGAATAAACCTTGAATGTATATGAGATTGAATGTATATATATGAGTGAATGTATAGTGGGAAAAAATGTCGATCGTACTGAACAAAAAACCCCACTTTCTCTTAATCGATTTTGAGAAATGGTACTGAAAAATGGCAACATTTTGGCTCCTCTTTGAACAAAAGGGTTGAAATATTGCTGAAATAGGTAACATTTTAGAGTTTGATGCTTTAACAAAAATCGTAGGTAGCATAAAAAAGAAATGCGTAAATATTAAAATTCATCGGGTGGAAATTGCGTAAAAAAAAAGAAAATAGGGAAGAAACCGTGTTTGTCCGAGAAACCATCGCTGCCCTCTTACATTTTTATGTCCCTTATAATTATCCAACATAAAATTACTTTTGCACTACCTAACAGTATAACTGGGTCAGAATAGTTTTGCAGTTATATTGAGGATAACGCTTTAGTACTAATTCTAAAAAAAAGTTCAAAAGTGTTTCTATAAGTGCATGGATAGAAAAAAGCTCCAGAAAGTTTCAAAGTAAGATGATTATTTCTTTGTTGTAACTTTGCATTTTTGCACCTAATTTATGAATACGATAAATTTCAACCTACTTTGTCGTAAATTAAAAAAAGATCAACAAGTGTATTCTTAAGCTAATGCTACAAGTTCTATTACCAGGCTTCACGATGTCCTTGGTGATTTAAAATTTCTTAGTTTACCCTGTGGGGTTCGACAAAAATTTCTTCAAAATTTGAAGTTTATTGTCAGGTAAACAGTGTTATGAAGGTACCACGTTCCTAGATAATATAGTTACTACATATATTTTAAACATTAGAATGCCTTTTGATGAAAAGATTTGAGGACTTGATTTTATATAATTTTTGGACTACAGTGCATCACACTTGAAAAATTTACAGGTGAATGTTCCTGATTGAAAAGAAAAAAATCACAAACCTGACCAACATTTATTGCAATATTTTGCCTACAAGATGATGAAAATGTAGTTATGAATATCATCTTGGTCCGTCAGACGAGTTTCGGCGTTTCGCCATCTTCAGCGTTCCACCTGTATTTTCCGTGGAATTTTCAATGATAATTTTTCACCCGGGCTGACTCCGGAATGGACAGAGCCTTAGTGTAGCTTGACCAAATGACGAATTAGAGCGTTGGTTTTTCTTTTCTAGACCATGGACAAAACCCGCCTTCTCTCGACAAATCGCCGCCATTTTGAAAAGGCAACAACCAAAGCGTTTCTCCATCGATTTTGACTTTCTGATATTCTTTCTGAACATTTGTCACACATTGTGGAAGCAGTATCACGATTACGACTTGAATGGCAACAATCAAAATTCGTTTATATAATTCTATAAGAGATTTTTACCCACTGACTTTTGATCGGTAGTTCATTAGCATGACAATAAAGAAATGAGCCGTTGAATGGCTTGATAATGGGACAGTTGAGGCCAGACGTGTTACATTAGAGCTCGTTTATTTTATTCTCTCTCTCTCTCTCTCTCTCTCTCTCTCTCTCTTTTATAATATAATAATCGTATAAAACGCTGCTTTCTCTCCAGTTTAATCTTTCTTATTAGCAGTTTCAACTTGTCGGATATTTTATTCAAGTGGGTGTGCTTTAAATGCAATTAACGTGGGTAAAAAGCTCGTGTGAACGTGTTCAGGATTAGCCGGATTTCAAAACGAAATTTTCTCTCTCTCTGTATGTATACGGTCTACTTCCCTTCTGATCAAATGTTAGAAGATATTCTGGATGACCCTGTTTGACACGACTTATAATCCAGTGGACCTTCAGAAAAAATGAACGATTTTTCACAAGTCGAAATTGCTGTGCAAGAAGTCAAGGTGCCAGGGTAGGATCGGACTGGCTGAAATATATAAATCTTTTAATTTCCGAAAATTCTCAAAACTGTACAAGGTTCTGAATACCAAAACTGTACGACTGAATGAAACGAATGACCAAAATCGCAGAAATGTTATAAAAATGCTACCATATGTTCAAAAATAAAGTTCAAAAGTAAAATTTGACTTCCTGGTGTTCAGGATATCATGTCCATTGAAGAATTTTTTGATAAACTGTTGAAAATATCACCAGGGTATTTTGACTATGTAATGCCGTCCTTTAGTTTCTGCAATAAATTATTTTTATTCTTATTTTGATATACGCATAAACATGAATATTTCGGAAATTTATGTTTGTTTGGATTTTGGTTGATGTACCGGTATTGATATTGGACATTGTCTTTCAGATGTAGGTTTACCCTAGGACGATAATTCAGGATGTACCTTCCCATGTTTTATTTCTACAATCTCGGAGGCTCAATGTTTTATTCTCATTCCTCTCGGGATTATCCTGATGAATATAATATGGTTGCAACGTCCGTGAGGAGGAAGAAGAGAGAAGAAGAAGAAGAAGACGCAGCGGCTTTTAAAAGAAATGATTTACTGTCAGTAGTCCGCGACGCGATTTATTTTATAGACAGACCGGATTAAAATAAAACCATCAGGACGACAAGAATCTGTAATAAATATATTTTGTGTATATATATGCTTTTCGTTCGGCCGTTCGATTTCGCTTACCTGGGCCGATAAATTATTGTCATCGACGAAATTCCCTCCTTCGTTGAAACCTTACGGTATGAAATTGGTCCTTTCGGTTCGTTCTTGAAACCGATCATAGCTCCTCACAAGAGAGTTGTTCACATCCTCAGAACTTATCTAATATTTATTTATTTTCCTTTCAAAAGCCTTTACCTTTTTTTTAAACTTTCATTCCTCATAAATAATAAGTTAAATATCATTCAAAGTTAACTTATCATTTATTTCTTTGCCTTTAAACAATCTTTAGTAATTTTGTTTACTTTCATTTTTTGGGGGAAAAAAACTAAATGTAATTTAAAAGTAACATCATTTATTATTTATTTATGTGTCAATAGCCTTAATTTTTTAAATTAGATTTTTATTTAAAAAAAGTAAATGCTATTTAAAGGTAAATTAAGGTAAATATTCAAAAGTGTTAAAGGTAACGTCATTTATTATTTATTTATGTGTCAATAGCCTTTATTTTTTTAATTAGATTTTTAGTAAAAAGAAGTAAATGCTATTTAAAGGTAAATTAAGGTAAATGTTAAAAAATGTTAAAGGTAACATCATTTATTATTTATTTCTCTTTTAATAGCCTTTAATTGTTTTTAGTTTCATTCTTACCTAAAAAGTTAAATGCTATTTAAATATAACATCATTTATTACTTATTTTACTTTCAGTGACCTTTACCTTGTTTCTTTCCTTTTATTCTTACTAAAAAAATAAATTAAATGCCATTTAAAGGTAAATTATATTTATTTACTTATCTTTAAGTAATCTTTACACTTTTTTTATTTTTAGAAAAAAAAGTTAAATTCAGATTAAAGGAAACATATCATTTATTTGTTTTCCTAGAAATCATTTTTATCTTTATTTTACTTTCGATTTTGCTTAAACGTTAATTAAGATGACTTCATTTATTATTTATTTATTTACCTTTACATAGCTATTAGAAGTTCTTTATTTCATTTTTACTGACAAAACAATAAATGCTATTTAAATGTAATATCATTTATTATTTATTTACTTTTAGATAGCCTTTAATTGTTTTTAGTTTTATTTTGAGTATAAAAAAGTTAAATTATATGTAAGGTTCTTTATTATTTGCGTATAAATAGCCTTTATTTCTTTAAAGTTTCATTATTATTGTAAAAAAAAGGCTAATTGTCCGAACAGGTAACATTCTTTATTTTTTTTTTATTTTTTTATTTTTTTAATAGCGTTAAATCATTATGAGTCTTTAGTTCTTTACCTTTAAATAGCCATTAATTTTTTTTTAAGTTTCATTCTTAGTATAAACAAAAGTTAAATTCGATCTATTGGTTCTTTAACCATTATTATTTACTTCTTTACTTTTTTACCTTTAAATTCTTTACTTTCATTTTTAGTAAAAAAAAATGTTATTATAAGGTAACTTATAATTTATTTATTTTCCTTTAAATAATCTTTACTTTTCTTTATTTTCGTTTTTAGTAAAAAAAATGTTACATGCTATTTAAAGGTAATTTATCATTTATTATTTATTTATTGACCTTCAAATAGTTTTTACGTTTGTTTTACTTTCATTTTTAGTATAAAAAAAGCTCAATGCAATTTAAAGGTAACATCATTTATTATTTTTCCCTTTAAATAGGTTTTACCTGTTTTTATTCTCATTTTTAATTAAAAAAGGTATTTAAAGGTAACATAAAAAAGTAAATAATAAAAAGATTAAAGGTAACTTATCATTTATTAATTATACATTCCCCTTCAAATTATCTTTCTTTCAACTGTTATTTTTAGTAAAAAATAAGTTTTTTAGTAGTTATTTGAAGGTAATTTATCACGAATTATTTATTTATCTGTAAATAGTCTGCAGTTAACATTCTTATTCCAGGCTGGTCGTTCTTTATGCCCGAGGTTGGCGATATATTTTTAAGAGATATTTTTCCTTAAATTGAATTGTATAAAATGCATTATTTTTTAAAATGTAAAGTCTTATAAAACTATAACAGAAGCAAGAATTTTTAATTTTGTTCCAAGTAGTTTTTAAGAAAGGAGGAGGCGAAATCCTCCCACCACTTTGTTAAATTGGCCACAAATAAACTATTTCAATCAGGAGAGGTCAGATTTTGGGTTTAACTTTTTAACCATTTAACTTTTTAAACGATTAAACAAACATGAGTTATTCACCCCATGTTGCTTTAATAAGTTTTAGTAAGTGAAAATTCTGATCAGTTTTGAGACTTACGCACTAAAGAGGCTATGTCCTTTTACGTACCTGAAACAAAAAATACACAAATTAAAGTTTGAATCATGGACATTTTAAAATAAGAGGACTTCAGCGCAGGAATAAAAATGTCAGATGTCGCGCAGAGTAATTAGAATCTTAAACGTTCTCAATTACAACCAAAAATAAAATTGTTTTGCTTAGACTCATCAAAATGTTATTAAATCTGATCGAAAATTGCACTCTTAAGTACACGGTTGGCGGCGGACATTTTCTTTTTATTTATCCAAACGTCAATCGATCATTATTCACGTTAGCCGAGGTGTGTAATTTCGCTTCGTTCCACCCAACAACTCGTCTTAATTAGTTTCAAGGCATGCAATTAACAAGGCGACCACCGATTAAGAATTTTTCAAAAACTGTCGAAGACGGGGAGGGAATAATCCTCGCGAGCGGTGCGACAGATGTCGATAGGACTACGCTTTTCCAGCTAGCTATGTCCATTGAAAATATTATTGAATAACCGATCCAAGGGCAAAACCAAGTATTCATAAGCATAAGTAAGCAAATCACTAGGGCGGGGTTTTTCAGCATAGTACAATAACAGCGCCATTACTACAATGATAAAGTATATGCCAAATCGCCCCTGTCGCTGCCGGTCAGTCTGCGATTACCGGCAAAATCGGTATTGAGAATAATTTCGTTCAGAATCCCTATCATCAAGTTGCATCTTCCTATCGACCTTTGTTCGGATCGAGAAATTTTTATCTAAGCAGGTTTGCTCGAACCTTTTTAAAACGAAAATATATGAATAAATTGCAAAGCATAAAAATAACCATGAAAAACGTATACCTTTAGGCAAGTTAAAAAAAATATTTGTAGTCTATACATATTTGTACATATAAAAATGTGATCCCAGTACTTTTTTTTTTCAAATGGTCACAGCACTAACACGCGCAGTCCCACGCTGCACCCGAATGACGCATGTGAGAAGCCAGCCGCCAGGGGCAGGGATGTCTCGATGCTATCGTCGATTTAGGTAATGGGGCGGGTTCTCAAGTTGGAAATGTGTAGAGAGGGCTCGAGGTTAGGACGGATCGAAAGGTTGGTGTCAAACTTTTGGGATAGGGAATAGATCAGTTGACAAAAGGAATGTTGAGGTGGTTGTGGACAGTGAGGCTAGTGACGTAGTAAGGAGCTTTGTAGATTTGTTTGTCTTGGCAGAACCCCACAGTTCCACTCCTATGTCCAAAGTAGGTGTACAGGTAGGTCAGCAGTGTAGATGATATAAACGACGTTAGGAAAGTTAAAAAAATATTTGGTTTTTCCTTTGGCCTTTTTACAACAAATGTGTGCAAAGACGTAATGATTCTTCGAGAAAACCCAAAATGTTTGGAGCGATTTTTCGATACGCTGTTTGACTTAGTCAAATATTTCGCACGCCTAGCATTTTAGAATCTTTGAATGTTTGATACCTGTAGAACACCTTCAAACACCTTCTTAGCAGCCTAGAATCGTTAGGATTAAAAAATGCATTAAATGCATTGATAATCATACAGCTTGATGCATGGCTGAACAGATACTTTGAACGCCGGATAGATGACAAAAATGGACAGATTTGAAGTTTCAAATCATGCTATCATCATGCTAGCATCACATCTACATCACTGCTAGGGTAAAAATACTGATGCATGGATAGGTAACCTAACACTAACCCTACATTACCTAACCTAACCGTCCCTGGCCCTAACCTTACCTAACCTAATCGTCGACTAACCTATGGATTTTATAACAAATTTATGCATGCATTGAATGCTGACGAGGATTGCACCTTTGCATTCGCACATCTTGGTTTCTAACGTGATGGATTAAAGTAGTGATTGAAATAAGCAGTGGATAACCTAACCATCCCTAACCCTATCTAACCTAACCTCACCGTCCCTAACCCTAACCATTCCTAAAGCAATAAAATATCGTGAGTCATGCACAAAAACTACTACATGTTAAAATCCACTTTTAATCAGTTGCAACGACTTTTCAACAAAATCGACCATTTCATGGATTTTAGAATTAATTTATGTATGAAGTGACAGCTCGCGAAGATTACATCTTGGCATTCGGCATCTCGAGGTTTCAAATATGATGGATTACGGTGGCGTATGAAATAAGGAGGACTTGGATGAGAAAACAGTGGACTATCCTTAAACCTACCTAACCTAACCTTACATAACCTAACCCGCCGCTAACCTTGACCTTACATAACTTACTGCAAATATGTGAATCCAGCTACAAAAACACATTTATGGTAAAAGCTACTTTATATCAATGGCAATGATTCTTCAACCAAGTTGACAATTTTATGGGTTATAAGATAAATTTATGCGTCCATTGATAACTTAACCATACATAAACCTATTGTTTCAATACGTTATTCGAAACCAAACTGCCACAACAGCTGTGAAATGGGAAAGAAAAGTTGAATTTCCGTGATGAGGTAAAAAAGTGGTTATCGACAGCAGAAGCATTCCGCATCCCAAAAGGTCAAAGTAAGAATTGTAGCTTCCCCCCTGTCGACTTTTTAAAAATATCTTCGGAACAAAAGTTGTAAACCACAGTTTTTCATCCAAACAATCGCAAATGACTCGAAAACGCTTGAGAAATCGGGCAAAGTGGAAAGTGTCCAATTGAAAGCTTATTAAAATTTCCTATCGGCCGGTATAGGGCGCTGCTCCAGGATGATTTCCCGACTCCAAAGCTCAATTTGAAATTTTCGCCAAAAATTAACATGTTACAGAATCCATTAGATTTCTTGATCCGATTGACCAAATAACTTCTTTCAATTAATTAGTTCTTTCTAAAAGGTATTTTTTTTTTGCGTTATGAACTATGCATATTAGCCATGTGACAATTCATATATGTGTGTTCAAATTTGGGGGGGTCATTGTGAAAAAAGGGCCAGAGGCGACGGTGGGAATCGAACCCACGACCGCGGCGTGAGAGTCTTTCATGCTAACCACTCGGCTACCGCGGTCCCCCTTCTAAAAGGTATTGGTGGAGATAAAAAAAAAACCAGTGTCACGAGCGGGATTCGAACCTCCCATCTCAACCCCACCCTTTGAATTTTCCCTCCTTTTTGCCTTTTTCCATTGAGATGGGAAGTTGTTATCCGAGTGGATTGAAGTCACGATAGCTCAAGTGGTAGAGCAGCGGCGTATTTAGCCGAAGGTCGTGGGTTCGAATCCCGCTCTTGACACTGGCTTTTTTATCTCAGCCAATATTTTTCATAAAGATTAATGTTCCAGAATTTTTGAATTTACTGATGAATGACTGAAGATAAAAAAAATTTAAAAATGCTCTTGTTCAGCGAAAATTTTTCTAATATTTGAGAACTAGCTCAGTTGATTTAAAGGGTGAGAAAATATGCATTTCCAAAGTTGGCCATTTTGTCGTGTAAAAAACAGGTGTTCGGTTTTTTGATGGGCAGTGTACTATCATTGACAAAACTATAATTTATATCATTTCATATTCGGTCAAATTATTAATTAAATAAATGTAATTCTTTCTCTTTCCCTGTCTCTAAGAGAATTTTCGAACAAATTTGTTTCTTTTCGCAATATTTTTACATACAGGTTTAATCCTGTTCACAGTCACAACGTCAGTAATTAGACGGGAATGTTTTTTAATTTTGAAAATTGGATCAGTGGGTTGTCGCCTTTGCTTAACACACAATGAGTCGTGTGTTCGTTCTTTATTCTGAAAACGCAAGGAATATAAACAATTATCGTTTATGAAGAAATAACGGTGTTTCGTCGACAACTGTGCGAACAAGCGTACAGCCCGTTTAATAATTACCCCGATTACAAAAGCTTTTAAAATTATTGCAGGCAATTTTAATCAAACGGAAGGCCGGAATGTGAATTAACGAACCCTGACAAAAGGGGCGAGGGTCGTCGGCAAACAAGCGAATCGTTCGAGAGGAAAAAAGACGTTGGACTTGACAGGCTTTGCTTAAATCAAATTAAATCTATCACATCACTTGTTCCGAACAGAACGTGATTAACGATGACACAACAAGTAAGAAATTGTTACTCAGGACTGCTTGAATTGCGAAGAAAACGAGGCCAACGGGAAGAAACAAAATATAAACATTCCATCACCAATTGTTTACTTGTCATATTTCTTTGTTCTCTGTATTTCATATTTTCAGCATAATTTTGTATTAAAAATCAGAACTAAGTACAAATTAAAAAACCTTAAATAAGCCATCAAGCATTCGTGGAATAAATATATCCATTCGATATGTAACAACAATTGTATAATGTACCTTGACTGAGGAGGAGCTGAGAAGAGATCGAAAAGGTATTTCTAACATGAAGGAGAAAGAAAAAGTGCAAAATTGCTGAGAAGAAGCGCAAATGAGGCCAAATTGGCTGAAGAGGATGAGCTCGAAAAGGCCTACCCCACTTGAAGAAGATCTAACTACAAAAAGGCAAAATTATTGAGGAGGTGCTCAAAAAGACCTTGATAGCGTGAAGAAGAACGATAAAAAACTGTCAAATTGCTGAGAAGGAGCCTGAAAGGTCTTTCTAAGGTGAAGAAGAAAGGATTTAAAAAATGTTAAATTGGGAGAGAAGGAGCTCAGAGGAGATCGAAAAGATCTTCCCAACGTGAAAGAGAAAGGAAAAACTTCAAATTGGTTGAGAAGGAACTCAGAGGAACTAGAAAAAGACTTCCCAACTTGAAGAAGATTTAATTTAAAAAAGGCCATATTGAATGAGGAGGAGCTCAAAAAGATCATGATAACGTGAAGAAGAGCGATAAAAAACTGTTAACTTGCTGAGCAGGAGTTCGAAAAGGACTTTCTAAGGTGAAGAAGAAAGGATTTAAATTTTTTTAAATCAGTGAAAAGGGGTACGGATAAGATCGCTAAAGTGTAAACGTGAAGAAGAAAGTAATAAAAAAAATGTTTAAATGACAGAGAAAGAGCACAGATGAGATCGAAAAGACCTTCCCTACGTGAAAGAGAAAGGAAAAAACTTCAAATTGATTGA